CACCAAAAACCACCAACCCCCCTCAAAAAAAAAACCCAACAAAAAAACCCTAACAAAACAACAACAACCAACTAAAACACACACAACCAAGCTTACCCCCAAACAAACAAACAAACAAACAAACAAACAAATAACCAACTACAATAAACTAAATATTATTGTTACCAAGAAAACACAATTTTTGTTAACAAGTCAGTGTTATTAATGATACAATTTTGATAAAACAACTTTATCGGTAACAGCATTCAGTTGTTTTTTTTTCTTTCCTGTAAACTTCTAAAATCTGCACCCTTCTGTATTTAAAAAAAAATGACGGTAGCTTAGTTGTAATGCTGTCTTTGGATTGTTTACTGTATTTTTACCCGATCCGTTTTTCTACGGTATTTCCATGAATTGTATGTATACATACTCGTCCCATTGCTTAATTAAATCGCTATATGCATGTATTTCTACATTGATATACATATTTTATTTTCTCTTCATTCTGTGTCCACATTGTATACATGAATGCCCTGATGCGTCAACGCTCTATTGCAGACTTCTACAGACTTCAGCTTAAGTTAAAGACCACTTGCTAATTTGACTTAAACTCCCCAAGGATTTCCGTGCTGCACGTGGTGGTTTTGTCCCTTGAGGAAGCTTTGCAGTACGCATTGGTAACCCATTAACACTTTCAGAGCGAAAAAGGCTGTCTTTTATTCGGATAAAAAAAAACAGGGCTGTATGTCAAGGTGCTACTTAACTTAATATGTTGAAGTCTGTTTATCGCTAACTTAGGATTACAAAGTTCTATCTGATCTTTTTGGCCGTCTTAAGTTACCAAGACCAAGAGCTCAGAAACCAAAGTAAATGTTCTATCTGGTCTATCAAAATGGCAAGGTTTTTCGGAGTCATTATCAAAGTGTTCACAATTTTTGCATTAGGAAAAGCTTGACATGTTATTAAACTCAAAATTTTTAACGTCAAATTTTTCAAAACAAGGTACTGAGCAGATAGTTTTAGTTTCAGTAGAGGTTTTACGGCGCTCGCAACTGCATAAGGTCATATGGGCGCCAGTCTGAGCAGATAGAACTTTGTAACTTTTGGGTAATGATACGTCTCGTAAAACGCAGTGAACAGTGTAAATTATGGAAATGCGCCCTACTTTGATGATGATGATGATGATGATGATGATGATGAAGATGATGAAGATGATGATGATGATGATGATGATGATGAT